CTTGGAAATAAGCCACCACATCCTCGACGAAGAATGCCTTTCTGGCGAACATACAGTATGATGGCAGGTTTATCTGTACATTTATCTTGAATTTGTTTATACCCAGTGCTCATACCAACTAAATTATAATGCGCTTCTCGGAATGACGGTCCCAATTCATTGTCCAAGGCTTTATCGAAAGCTTTCTGTAAATCTTGTGGGACCTTTTTATAGGTTGGTAAAAGATCACGGCCACTCTGTGATGGAATTTCGGGAACGAGAAGCCCTCTATCTTCTGGTATGAAACGAATTAATTGACCTGCAACTTCTTCTGTCCGTTCGTGTAAACTAAGATGGCGAGTAACCACGTAAACACTCCATGTAGTTTCATTTGTGCAGATATCTCGACCCCAAAATATGTCCACAATGCCATCTTTCTTGTAAAGCTGGCAGAGGCGATTCTCAAGATCATCATTCCAAGAAACTAATTCTGAATTTAAATAATCTATTAATAAGCAAATTCGATTTAGACATTATTTCGGAGAAAAGCTAAAGTACATTTCTATTGAAAATGATATTAATGTTACCTTCATCTTCGTCTCCAGAAGATTCTTCAATGCAATATTTCGTATAATACATTTCATCGCAAATTTTCTGATAACTCCTACCATTAATTACCAGGTTATTGAAATCATCAGAATTAGGTTTCTCACTTGATTCCAATCCTCTTGCTGCTTTTATAAATTCTGTAAACGAATTGTGTTTTCCAATTTCGGTATTAAGTAGACCTTCGCGTAATGTTGCTTTAAATTCATTCCCTACGTATTCCACAGTTTCTCCTTCACATAAATAACGCGACTCACAAATATCATTTAATTTAACAGGTGGCGCAGGTGGTCTAAAAATAATGTGAATATGCTCACAAGATGGTTTGTCAGTAAAATAATAATTAACCGTCCCAGTTGTGATAAGATTATTATCGCGGAGTTCAAGGTTATCTAGTTTATAATTATCTATGTGAACCTGAACCTTCCATAACTTGAACATTTGAGCCTTGAATTCGTAAGTCGATAGCCATTTCTCTTTAATGATTTCTTTAAGTTGATCAACAGTCTTACTTCTGTTTATCTCAATAGAAAAGGCTTTATTGGATCTTTTTCCTTGAAGAAGGCAGTTTAATATGATTGTATCCATCGTAGATAAAAATCTGAAGACCGGTTCTAGGGGCTATTTTATTATTAGGTTATTTATTACATAACCGTATGTAAACAACACATTTTACAGCACAAATGAGGTCACGATTTAGTTATTTATCAATGTCAGGTTTTTACTATTATTAAATCAACATCTATATAATAATTTTATTTAGAATAATTTTATTAATTAATTTATAATTTAATCTGATATTTTAATTTTTAATAAAAATTTTATATTGTACTTTTTAGTTTCTATTTAATTTCTGTTTAAAAAAAAGTAATATATATATATATTGTATTTATATAGATTTGGCTTTCTAAATAAAAGATTTTAAAATTTAAAATAAAAAAACAAGATAATAAATTAAATATATTTTTTTTAAAAAAAATATTAATATTAATATAATAAATTTTTAATTAAAAATTTTAATAAACCTATATCTTTTAAAATATAAATTAAAAATTTTTTTAAATAAATACTTATTTAATAATTATAAAAATTTTTTTGCAATTTTTTTTATAACACCCTGTATATATTATTTTGATTTAAATGCTATATATACTTGTTTAACCCCATTTAAAATTTAGTTCACACACTTGTTGCTTATTGTATATTTAATAATATTATTTAAATTTTCATAAATTTTATGTTTATATTTAAATATTATCAATTGTATCTATTATAAATCTTATTAAAATATTAGTAAAAAACAAATATTCTAATTAAAAACAGTTGTCTGCATTAATAATTTACTATTTAATAAAAATTTTTATCAATGTATAAATATAAAAATTTTGTATTTTTAAAATGGACTTTAATTTAAATCAATAATATTGATATAGCTTGATGAAACAAAATTAAATCAATAATATCAATAATATTTGATTAATTATTATTTTTTATATTCAAATCAATTATTTGAATATGATTATATAGTTCAGTTTTATTATTATTATCTATATTTAATCTAAATTAATATTATTTGTTATTATTATTGTAAATTATTGCGATATTTTTATAAAGTTTTTTTGTACCAATTTTCTATCTAAAATTTTAACTTATATTTTGTATTTTTAATAATATATAATTATAATTATACTAAATTATTGTGAATATTTATTTACAATATTAAAAAAAATTATTGATTTAATATGGTAATTTTAATGTTATAATTAAAATATAATTTATAATAATTTAAATGTGGCATAAATTCAATATATTATTAATTTAATTATAAATTATTAACTATTAATAATATCATATATATTGTATTTTTTATTATAGTATATAAAATATAAAAATAAGATCTATAGGTCTATAGCACAGTAGTAGTGCTCTATAAGTTACCAGGAGAAAGTTAAGTTAGGAGCAAGTATAGGAGTAACAAATCCTCAGAGAACATCTGGAACAATCGGTGCTGTTGTTATTGACAAGAAATCAAAACGACAAGGCATCCTTTCATGTGAGCATGTATGCAAGTTAGATGAACCAAGTGCTGAAAATGATTTCATAATCTATCAGCCTTCGCATAGTGATTTAGATGAACAGAAAGAGTCATTTGTTGCAATGGCAAGTAATAATGATAAGTATAAAGAACTTTCTGAAACAGCGTGCCGTGAAATTGAAAAGGATAGACAGAATTCTGCTTTGGCTCGCTATGAACGTGGCATGCGAAATAACTTCTTCTCTAATACACATAAAAAGAATTTTGGGATTGATGCTGCATTTTGTATTTTCACGGATAAAAGTCGTACATTATGCCCGGATCAATTTTCAATTTTCCCGGAATACTTCAATAGGATCAGAATTCCCGAAAATACTCGCCTCAAAGGCTTTTACACATATGAAGATTTTGATGACATTGATAAGATCGATGTCTTTAAAGTAGGGAAGGGATCAGGTCTTTCTTGCGGAAAATTGATTCCTGATAGGTGTGCTGTTTCCTTTGATATTACAAACAAAAGTATCAATTTCGCAAAAAAACAAGATCCAGGCGAAATCTCACAAGCTCCATCAAGTACCGATTTGTCAGACAAAGTTTTCATTGGATACATGAAGTCACCGATTTTCGAAAATCGTCAAAAATGTTACCCTACTGTGTGGTTTGACCGGCAATTAATTATTAAATTCGAATTTGGAGGATTTGAATGTGGAGACTCGGGTTCAAGCATTGTGGACGAAAGAGGAAAAGCTCTTGGCATCCTTCATGCAGTATGGCTGACCAGCCCCGATAAATACGCTATTGCTTCTCCTTACTTTGCAGTTTTTGAGGCATTGGATATCGAAGAATGTAAACTCGACTGATTGGTGTTTTGCAATAGTTATTTTACAATCCATGTTTCTCATCATCATTTATAATTAGTTAAGACAGATTATTTTCCAAGTTAGTTTGATTTATATACAGTAGTTTCCGTACTGCGCTAGGTACAAACTCAATAAAATACTTGACTTTTTTTTCACTGCAAAATCAACGTCATTATTTGTCATACAAAAAAAGCAAATTAAATAAGCTTCGGTATCATTTAGAAAGAAAAAAGGCTTGATGTCACAAACATGTAATCATATATGCACTTCGCGCACGTACTTTCCTTTTTTCGCTGGAAACATTTGGTTATTTTATGCCTACTCAGACATCTTATTCATTGAATTAATTGATGGAACAAACTGTAATCAGAAATTTTTTTTTTTCACCGCTTTTTGTTTAAATCCTCTGCTTAAACAGACAACTCAATGCTTCACATAATATATTTTTGCTGACGAGATCATAATTCATGTATACCATAAAATATAGACTATATAGGCCTCATTCTGCAAGTATAAGAAGGCTGTATTACAAAATGCGAATCAACAAATCTAATCGGATTTTCTGGAATGTTGAGTACTCATTAAATGACAATGCAAATGTAGTTGACCAGATTTCCTTGACTGGCTTTGCAGACATCATTCGAATTAAAATTTTCTTTCTGGGCATGCTTGATTCAACAAGACAAGGAAATCATTTTAAATTCATGACTTAGTATTCTGTCTAAAGAAATCGTCACAAATTCTGAAGAAGCAAATATCTAAGTACCAGAGATAATTATTGAGTCACCAAAGAGTTTCTAATTTAAAGCTCTTTGTTGAAAATGCCAAACTTGGAAAAAAATTTTTTAAGCTTAGAATTGAAAACAGTTAAAACAGATTATATGTCAAAATTACACTATTTAAATAATACATATAATATTTAAATAATAGCTATCAATAAATTCGAATAATTCGCTAAAGAACTTTTGTATTCTAAAAAATTAAATTTAATAGTATTTTCCAAATCTTAAATCTATTAGTCAAATAATATAAGACATCTTATGAATTATAAACTTTAAAAATTAATTGTTGAAGATATTGATAATATTTAATGGTTATTCTAGATAAAGCAAATAAATATAAAATATATCAAATAAAATAAGTTTAATTTCTTTTACTTATTTAATTAACCTATCAAATTATATGTACAACATAGTTTAATTTTTATTTACTAGTTTAAAATTGCTAACTTGACAAACAACAGGTTTTATTTCGAATTTGAAAATAACACAAATGTTAAATTATTAAGTATTAAGTTATATTCAATTAGATATAATGATTTTCTGCCATAGTCAGTATAATAAATAAGATAAATAATTCATATATATAAATTATTGTATCTATATGAAGTTTATTTTCATGAAAGTATAAATCTCCAATACATATAAATGTAAGCAAGGTTGTAGTAACTGATTTCAATATAATCCAATAATCAGAATATATTAATTTTTGAATTAACTGAGCAGCAGTTAATAAATGATTAATTCTATCTATTTGGCTTTGTCATCATACTTATGATTGTTTTGATAATTGTAAATCTTTTCTAAATGATATATATAACTATGCCATCTATCTGTAATGAAGCCTAAATTGTGAATTGATATTGAGAATACATTTTTTAATATATTTAAAAAAATATTTTATAGTGATAATGTTATATTGTTACGGGGAAACGACGATCGACGATATGGCTTAGAAATTGAGAATGACGATCGCGCATTATAGAGGTTG